TTAGACGGAGAGCTGGTAGCAACATCTCCCTCCTCTCAAAAGAGGAAGTAGAGAGAGAGAAGGGGGGGGGAGGTGTTGTGCAACAACAACCCCTGTCATTCGCTTTGAGGCCTTTTAGCTCAGATCATCCTGACTTCTCTCCAGGCTTGTATTGATTATTGATGAAGCGGGTGAGTCGATGCCACTGTTACTGATACCGGCCAGTAGAGTCTGATTGACGAAATTTATTATTGATTATTGGTTCTGACCTTTGACTGTTTTTTTTCCTCGCTGCTGACTTTTATCTGTTACTTGGTGAGTTATGTGACCTTCTTGTTGTCTGTGTAACTGGCGTGTTTCAGTCGTGTTCATGTCCGTAGACGTGAATGTTCTGTCGGGGAACATCTGTAGAACATCAGACCTGGTTCTGGTTCTGACCGGGTCATGATACAAACATGATGGCATGTTCTCCAACATCTCAGAGGAAACTAAAACTGCATGATGATCAGTTTTTATTTCATCACACCAGTCAGTAGTATATTAACTAAAAACTAAATAAGCGAACGTAATTATTGCTAAAGCAGTTGATCATAACCACAAGACATGAAGGATGCTGGACTTTTACAGAATCCTGATCTGTCAAATAAAGCAGCAAACCTTTTCAGCTTCATCACTTGTGGAGCTTCAGGATCGACCTTCAATGGTACCTAGGCAAGGTCGATCCCAGGGAGAACCCAGGTCGATCCCAGGTCGATCCCAGGGAGAACCCAGGTTGATTCCAGGTTGATCCCAGGGAGAACCCAGGTCGATTCCAGGTCGATCCCAGGGAGAACCCAGGTCGATCCCAGGGAGAACCCAGGTCGATCCCAGGGAGAACCCAGGTTGATCCCAGGTCGATCCCAGGGAGAACCCAGGTTGATCCCAGGTTGATTCCAGGTAGAAGCAACACCAGGAGCCTCAGGTGTTGGATCAGTGTTGTTGATCCAAACTAAAACTTGACATGCAGCTTTTAGTTTCCGTTAATGTGTGAACTAATCCACCTGTTGGTCAGCGGGAGCTAACATCATGGGAACGCCTCTGCAGATCCGACTCCAGTGCGGTTCACCGCCGTCTGGAGGGAAGGACATTATGAGCGAGGAGCTGAGCTCAGATTCGCGGCTCAGGAAGAAACATTTTAGGTAAAAGCTGCAGGTTCTCAACAAGTCCAACGTCAGGACCCAGAATCAGACAAAGTTCATAAACAGATCTTTCTTCCTGATCACAGCTCCCTTAGCCACGCCCCCCTCCATATCTATGCTATGCTTTCACACAGGGATTAGTTACACTTTCATTTTATTAAATACTCAGTAGGGAACCTGCAGTCTGTTCTCTGTTAGGAACATCTGGACCAATTAGATCAATCCTGAAGTAACAAATGTATGGATTGGTCTTTCAGTGTGTCAGGATGTTTTGAATTTTTGGCAATAGAAACTTGATTCATATGGGATTTAAAGACTTAAACTGGTCAAAAATAACCCAGAGGTTCTTTACTTCCTTCTTGGACAATAATGTATTGCCATCCAGATTAAGTGATTGACTAAGCAAAAGACCAGGACCTGTTCCTGTAATCTTCGATATGCTTGGTGAAGATGAATGAGGGTTTTCAATCTTCAATTTGACCTTTTCCCAACCAAACATAATAATCAATTATAAATGATTGTCTTCTTTTAATATGTGGAGTCAGTAAAGTAGACATTCTCAATTTTGTTGTTTTCAGCATCTTGATTTTCTTCAAGTTTCCTCTTCTTTTCTCACACTGAACAGAAAAAGTTCTGATGTACTTTACTAACCAAAACCCTTTACTGGACTTTTCAGACTCAAGCATTAGAAACTATGAAAGTAACTTTATCTTTAGCTTGATTAATGGAGAGGTTCACACATAGCAGTTGATGGTAGAACTGGTTGTTAGTGGAATGGTACCGTTCCAGCGTTAACTCTTTCTGTCTGAGTCTCAGCTCACCTGTAACGGTCCTACTTCTCCTTTGGCAGCTTAAAAAGGGTCCATCGGTTCCTCCACCTCCTAAAGTCACACCCACTAAAGAAGTGGCAGAAGAGCAAATCATTGACTTGTTCGGAGGAGAATTTCTACCTGCTCCTTCACCTTCTCAGGTAGGACGGCAAATAAAATCCAATTTCCATGAGTTTTTCTGCCCTTTAACCTTCTTCATCTGCTGCTGTCCACAGCCAAATGAACGACCAGGAGAGTCTCTTCTTGACCTGGACTTTGATGCTTTCCAGCCGGATGAAAGTGTTTCACCGATTCCTCAGGTCCGCTCAATTTTGGAAACCGATTTTAACACCTGTGAGAGAACAACAGGTTTTAGAAGAAGTAGGGCTGGACGATGGGGCTGAAAAATGTAAAACGATATACAAGCGTCTCATATCAGTTGATATCAATAATTTTTGGAAAGTTTTTCTGTTTTAAATATCTGAAGTGCTGCCAAACTAGTGATGTGACTTTTCTTGTTTTATTCAGTTTTTCTTTCATGTCGTTTATTTTTAAGCAGTTATGAAAGTGGCAAAACCTTAAAGTGCTGTTGCACAAGTTACCCAACAGGTTGTTGCTAGGCAACCAGAGAGCAAATGAGTTAAGGCCCCCACATACTTGAAGCCGACATACAAACATAAATTTTTATGACTGCGGACTCGGTGTTGCACTGCAACCTTTTCAGTGTTCACATCTTCATGCGACACAGACCTGACCAAGGTGAGTCAGTGCGCCGAGTCCGAGCGTGACGTCCACTCTCTGACCCCGGCTGACAGGCGCCCACCTAGCTCATCAGACATGCTGGTGTCCACTAGGATTGTGGGAAATAAAAGAATGTGACATCAGAGAGTTTTAGGCAATCAGTATGGTGGAGCATAAGGCGTCAACCATCCGTGAAAAGCACACGAGAAGTCTGCGTGTCTCACAGAGTGCACACGGAACGCCTGAGTATGTGGGGGGCTTTTGGAGTTTCCTACCACCCTGGCTTACGTTGAGCAGCTAAAGCCTTTCCCCCTTTCCTCTGCCTACATCCCCCAGAATGCTGTGCATCTCTGGATCTGAGTCCAGTGAAATTATTTAACATTCTCTCAGATGTATTGTCTGTTGATATTGGTCATATGTCTTTTCCAATATATATTGTTGTTGATTTATTGTCAATCTAAGATTCAATCTAAGAAGAGTGAATCAGATTTCGCGGTGCAGCAGCTGGGCCCCACATGTGATGGAGATTTCATTTACTAGGAGCCAATGTGCCAGGAACCACCAGATGGCATCTGTGAGGATTTCAGGAGTAGAGCTGGTGCTATCTGACGGTCACTGGACCACCCAACAGCCACGCAGCGATGGGACTCTCATTGTGGGTTAGATCAGTGTTTTTCAACCTCTTTTGAGCCAAGGTACATTGTTTTAATTGAAAAAATCAGGAGGCACACCACCAACCAAAAATGTAAACAAAGATACTCTGTAGCCGCCTATATATAGTCATTCTTATCAAAGTGTCTTGAATAGGAATCAAATAAACACAAAAATGTATTTTTATCATATTTTACATTTCTTATTTCAAATTGCACTTAACATGTCCACTTCAAAAATACACCTGAACACCTGAACAGCCACAACACTGTGGTGTGATGCATGAATGTAGTAACGTTCATGCATCACTAATTCTCTTGTTTTAATGTAAAATGTTCTGTACCTGCTGCCATCTAGTGGTAATAAAATGACATGATTACGCCGCTAGTCACTACTACAGCAAAGACACTCAAAGATAGCATTATTTGCAGATAATTAATTAGTTTTCAAAACAATCTTTTAAGACCAATTACCGTATTTTCCGGACTATGAGCGCACCATACTATAAACCGTACCTTTAATTTTTTTGAAGCCTCCCCTCCCCCTGGAAACTTACATATATCAGCCGCACCGGGCTACAGGCCGCTGGTATCTCTGCCGCTCTCGGTTTCCCATAAGGACCCAGCAGAGGGCTGCGTCCTAATAACTGCTGGATATATTAAGGACGCAGTTCTCCGTCTCCAAATCCGGTTTACGTGCAGTGGCTTTATTTCCCTCCTGTACTGCCAGATCGACACTCCTCAACTTAGAAGCTGCATCATATGAGTTTGAAAACATTTCTCCGTCGTGCCTGCTGCTAGCATGTGCTTGTTCTAAATGAAAATTAGCTCGTTCTTCTTTGACTTCCAATGATTCACTTCCTGCTAAAGAGCCCCCTGGTGGTTGAAGAAAAATCCACAGAAAAGCCGCATGTTCAAAGCGTAGGAAAGAAGTAGCAGCTTATAGTCTGGAAAATACGGGAGGTGAAATTGGATAATTTCCACGGCACACCTGATGATCACTCACGGTGCACTAGTGTGCTGCGGCACAGTGGTTGAAAAACACTGGGTTAGAACTAGACCAGTGGGTTGGGTCATGGAGTTACCCAGTGTGTGGAGGTCCGGGTGTTTTAGTGGGTCAGTGTGGTGCCTGAGGGCCACCATACGCTCAGAGTGCCACCTAGAAAATGGGTGGGATTGTCATATCAACAACAAAGTCCTGCTGAAGCTGCCGAAACCTGAGCACTCTTGAAGGTCCAGGTTCTGCGCGTCCTGGGGGGCCTGCTGACCCTGGGGGGCCTGTGGGTCCTGGGTTAGGGCTGGGACCAGGCCTTTGTGGCTGATGCAAGGACACTGATCCTGGGTTTGAACACCAGCTGATACTTGCAGTGCTACAGGCTCGCTATGCCATTTTGTCCTCTGGTGGCAGTTCTAGATGCCAACTGGTTGTAAATATCTAATTATCCGCAGGCTGTAAGGTGACCCTGAGAGTCTTCAGGGTCAAGTATTATTATTATTATTATTTTCACTGAGTGTACTTTACTCTGTTTGAATATGAGCTGCATTAACATGCTCTGTCTTGGTTTTAGACGGCTGTACCGTGGGACATGTGGTCGGTGAGTTCAATCTCCAAAACTCTTTACTTGGAAACAAACATGTTTTCTTTTCAGCTTTTTTCCTGAAAAGCCTGCAGGTTACTCTCAGACGCGCTGCTTGAATGGACTCTTTCCTGATCATTCTCAGGGCTAATTGAGCTGATTTAACGTAGTATGTTTTTTGCACATCCTGAGACCAGAGCACAGAAAATAGAAGAGCGTTAATTTGATTAAAATGCAACTGTTTATTGCCACTACAAACCAGATAGCACTAACAGCAGGTTATGGAGAATTGCACAGAAAAAGCAGATGGGTTCAGCAGAGTGATTGTCTACAGGCAGACTTGCTGCTTAAGAGGGGTTCTGGTTCAGTTTGACACTGCCTGGTGGGGTCCAAAGCTGGACGGTCTAATCATAAACAGATTGGAAAGATCTGGGTAAAAACAGCAACAACCTGTAGAGGACACAGCAACTTTAAATTATAATTAGAAAAGCACTGCAGATGTCTTTTATGAACAGGCAAATCACAGGAGCAAACAGACCAAGACTAAAAGAGTCAGTATGGTTTCAAAAGCTTTTCATCACTGGCATATGAGGGCAACACACACACGGATATTAAAATCCCCCCAAAAAGTGTGTTCATATTTGGTGTAATTTCATCTTAAAATGACATTAAAAATAATTTAAAACATATTGATTGTACTTTGGCTGCTGACAAGGATCCTGGTGCAGGTTAGAGTTAATTTATGTAGTGCCAGTTCACAACAATTCGTATCGAAATACTTTACAAAAAAATTAATTCAATCATCCAGACAGAGTTCAAGTTAGTGGCATTAATTCTGATTGATCCCAGTTATCAACTAATGAATCAAGTTCAGTTCATTATCCGAAATGGTTAAAATGTTTCCAAGGTAACGCAACAGAGTATCGAGTCGTTGACCCACAGCATCACTCCTGACCAACAGTGTGCAACAGTGGAGAGAAGAAACTCACCTTTAAAAGGATCCATCATTAGTTGTGACAATAGCCTTTATTTGAGAAATATTATCTTAGATGTAAAAACAATACAGTAATAGTAAGGTAAGGTAATTTTATTTATATAGCACGTTTTCAGCAACAAGACCATTCAAAGTGCTTTACATGAGTTAAAAGGAAATACAAACAAAATAACAAACTAAAGGAAAGAAAACTAATCTAATGTTCTAAAGCATGTAAACTAGGTGCTCCTGTTCAGGGTTGCTAAGTATCTAATTCCATTTCTAAATAGTGAAACTCTACAGTTTCTGATCAAATAAGCTAAAGAGTGACTGATCTAAATCCTTTTCTGGGTTAAAAGTAATATAAACTAAGCAGTGACTGATCCTGTTAAGTATTTCTGGATTCCAAGTTTGTAGTTATTCTAATTCTAATTCTGATTCCATTTCTGGGTTGTATAATATTGATCTAAATAGTGCGTACTCCACAATTTCTGATATTACTAATAAACTAAAATAATCATTTTCTGGGTTAAATAGGGAGTACTCCACCTAAAACAAAAAAGAGGAAAGGACACATTAGGGCAAATGGCAACATTCAGACAAAACAATGTGCAAAACAAAGACACGAGTGAAGGCGGTGACGTCAAAGGGCCATGAAGAAACGTTACTGAGCCTCCTGACAAAGTCCGATAAAGGTCTTGGTTATCCAGGAATGTCCTTGGGAGCGTTCAGCTTCGCAACTCCAGGGATACAGGAGGGGGTGAGGAGGGAAGGAGTGTTCACATATCTTCAAGGAGATTAGAGATATGCAGCCCTTCCAAGGCCACACGGGGAAAGCCAATTCAGAAACAGAATGTCTTAGGTCGGGAAGATTATAAATGTCAAACTTCCTGTTAAATTAGGGTTAGGTTATTAGGTATTTGCAGCAAACAAGATGGTGTATCAGTCAGGTTACTTGAAGGAGGACATGAGACCAAAACTTGCTGTAGATGTGAGCTGGTTTATTTGCCTTGATACTCTGTGTTGCCAGCAGTCTGCAATAACAATAAATTGCCATTAGGCTAATGTATTACAGCAAAACAGGTTCAACTTATACAAACTCAGTGAAAACCCACACAGACTTTTGGCCGAATTTAACATAAGAAGCACTTTGGCGCCATCATGTGGCCAGATAAAATCCCTACACAATGGCAGCAGCTGGCAGCTAAATGCGATAACTTACTTTCTGTCATCAACTTAACACTCAGACCATCATTTCTCAGGACTACACCGGAATTGCGGTCTCACGTGGAAAATGAAATGAACTGACCCGGAAGTATATTGGGTTGCCCTCATGAGCGCTAGCTCAGTACATACATAGATATAATATAAGAATAGACCCTCATGGACCGCTCTCG